GGTTTTTACTCACGAAAGCTTATGCCCAAATAAATCTGTTAGTCTTTAAGGTGCCACCAGACTCCTTGTTGTTTTTGTAGATACAGACTAACACGGCTACCCCCTGATTATTGGAAGTAAGAAATATCTTGCTTTATGGCAGAATTTAAGGCCTTAAGTGCACACGAAAATGCCAAAAGCAGCTTAAAGGTGACCTAAAAAAATATTTAAAAATCATTTTTGTGTCTTTTTTTGCTTCTTTAGGCAGAGGTTTTGCAGACTAAAAGGTTTTGGTAGGTTGGTTTGGTTTTTTTAAGGAGTGAGCAGAGGGTATTTGTACTTAACGTTCCATAGCTGAGTCCCAGGTTATTGGGATCAGTGTCAGTGAAATCCTGGCTCCACTGAAGTCAGTTGGAGCTTTAGCATCTGCAGTCTAATTGCATGGGTGCGCTGGGCCCTAAATTTGGGTTGTGTGTATGTGTCCCCCAGCTCCGTTGTAATTCCCACAGGTAAAAGGCCTTTGAGTTTGGTTTGGCACTGAGGCTCATGATTTAGTGCACAGATGGTAAAATTCCATCCAATACCCTTGCGTCACTACCCTAGCTAAAAAGAAATTCCTTTTTTGTTGGGGGGAGAGGTGTTACAAAATGCTAATTCTGAAAATAAAATCCAGGCTAGAAAATGTAGACATATATATTATAATAATCTAATTCTGGAGTTAAATGGTGCAGTGAACTTCCTAGCCAAATATTTTATTTGAAAAATGTTTCTGCAGTTTAAGAATATCCTTTCTCTTCTGGTTCTTTGGTGTTGAGGATTTTGTGGCTGCAATATCGTCTTATAGCAAACTTTCTGCTTCTGGATCCCTCTGCTAGGATTGATCCTACAGGGAATCTAGCCAGACATAAGAGAAAGAATAACAATATACAAACACACAATTGTATTGGCAAAAACAACGAGGAGTCCTTGTGGCACCTTAGAGACTAACAAATTTATTTGGGCATAAGCTTTCATGGGCTAAACCCCACTTCATCAGATGCATGGAGTGGAAAATACAGTAGGCAGGTATAAATACACAGCACATGAATAGTTGGGAGTTGCCTTACCAAGTGGGGGGGTCCGTGCTAACGAGTCAATTCAATTAAGGTGGAAGTGGGCTATTCTCAATAGTTGACAAGAAGGGGTGAATACCAAGAGAGGAAAAAATCACTTTTGTAGTGCTAATGAGGCCAGTGTAATCAAGGTGGCCCACAGGATTTCAACAATTTCCACCCCACCATCAACCTCAGCCTGGACCAGTCCACACAAGAGATCCACTTCCTGGACAGTGCGAATAAGTGATGGTCACATAAACACCACCCTATACCGGAAACCTAATGACCACTATACTTACCTACATGCCTCCAGCTTCCATCTAGACCACATCACACGATCCGTTGTCTACAGCCAAGCTCCAATCCCTCAAACAGAGACAAACACCTACAGGATCTCTATCATGCATTCTTAAAACTACAGTACCCACATGGTGAAGTGAAGAAACAGATTGATAGAGCCAGAAGTGTACCCAGAAGTCACCTACTATAGGACAGGCCCAACAGAGAAAGTAACAGAACGCCACTAGCCGTCACCTACAGCCCCCAACTAAAACCTCTCCAGTGCATCA